TTCCGTTCTCCTCTCTGGTATTGGGTTTCCAAATTTGCTAATTTTCTTGGTTTTTGTTTAATTTAAATTCCAACATTTTTGGTGGGAATTGAAATTCCATCTTTTTTTTTTTTTTTGGCAATAGAAACAAATTCTATTTCAAACTGTAAAAAAAATTATCCTTTTAATTGACAATTTCCATGTAAAATAAAACCAAACGAACGCAAAAAACTTTCCAATTTTTTTTTTTATCAAAACAAATTATATCCCAAATTGTAAGAAATTATATCCCTTTAATTGACAATTTTCATGAAAAGCAAAGTCAAACGAACACCAAAAGATAGAAAATTTCAACATTTTCTAGGTGAAAAATTATACCTATCAAACACAATTAATTGACAATTCTTAGTAAAACAAATTTTAGGCAATTTAATTCCCTGCAATTCGTTTTCTTTCCACCCAAATTCCATCTTTTAATCAAACAGACCCTTAGCGTTTCAAGTGCTCCTCCGAGCTTATAAAGGATTACATGTGCTAGCGCACAACAATTGGAAAGTTGTTGCTCGATGGCTTCATTAGGCCATCCGATATATAATTAATGACATGTTTATAATGTACTAAGCTAAACGTATCGAACATGATTCAAGATAAAAAGAAATTAAAATATTATTTATTTTCACATATTTTAATTTAAAATTTATATTTCCTTCTCAATTATTGATTCTAGACTTGTTCATTATAGTCAAATGATAGACAAAATGCATGTAGTAGAAATTATGTAATTTTTTGACCGAAATGAGTGGGAATATTAGCAAAATGACGATCGACGGCTATCATAGTGAAAATCGATCCACTCTAAATAGGAAAGAAAAAGTGAAAATAATAGGCATTTCAAGAAACTTATAATTGCAAAAGCAATTATTGCTGTGACCATTTCGTTTCCCATTTGACTATGTTATGGCATTGACTGGGAGAGAGAAAGAAATCGAGCACTTCCTTTTACGAAAATAAATTTTATAATAGAATAATTCTACTTGTACATAAAAAAATGTACATAAGGGTGTACACCTCCTCACATGGGGGTGGGACCCAGAGAAAGAACATTCTTATTTAATT